TCCAACCTAGTGTTTCTGTGATTCTGTAACAGCTAGGAAGCATCAAAACAACTATCGAAATATTTATAAACAACAAAATTGCATACAACATACTTAAGTCCCAGATATTCTTTATGAAAAAAAATCTTATGTCCTAAAGGTCTATTTCAATGACTAAAGTAAGAAAATGAATTCATGCAAAGTCTACGCAAACCATTACATACCATTCTGCTATGCCTGGCTCAAAAATTCCTTAAACACAGGAGGGCTTATGGTCTGATCTCAGAAGGCTCTTGAGTCCCCAGAAAGTGTCAGTTAATTTTACATTACATGTTTTAGTCACTTTAATCACATTGACATTAAAAAATAATATTTGGTTTTGGTTCTTTCTTATATACAGAAATATCTATCTTGATTTAAAAAGAATTATCTGTAAAAGAAGATAGTATATTTTATCTTACATCCATATACAAAAAAGACTTAATTTTTCTATTGGGGGAAGTTCCAAAAGTCCAGAAAGGGATAGAGTGCTACATTTCCAGGGCATTTAATTGGGAATTGTCTACCTAGGGTTCCTGTACTCTTAATGAAGCTTCAGTTCAGAGTTAGTTTCTCTCACAGATTTTGATTTCTCTGCAGTTGAGGAGCATTAAGAAAACTCTTTCTGCCTCTTTCACAGATCGCGAGAACCAGTCGATCCTGATCACGTATGTACACTCCCTGCTCAGGTCCCTGCAGGGCTGCCGGGTACCAGGGGACCTCCTGCCTGACCACACGCTCTCTGCTTCTCTCTTTGCTTTGACAGTGGAGAATCCGGTGCAGGGAAGACTGTGAACACAAAGCGTGTCATCCAGTACTTTGCAACAATTGCAGCCAGTGGGGATAAGAAGAAGGAGGAGCAGTCTGGCAAAATGCAGGTAAATCAATAGATGCTGGCTTGAATCAACACTTTCCTCTGTCCCTGATAAGATTTTTGGAAAGGATAACCAGCAATAATTATCATCCTGCAGGGAACGCTTGAGGATCAAATCATCAGCGCCAACCCACTGCTGGAGGCCTTTGGAAACGCCAAGACCGTGAGGAACGACAACTCCTCACGCTTTGTAAGTTGTTGCTTTGGACAAAATCCCTCCTCATATAACAGTAGTGATGGGTTAGTGGTATTCTCACATAAGGAGATGGCAATGAAATGCATCTAGGCTGGAATGCTGCTGCTTCTCCTTAACAGGGCAAATTCATCAGAATCCACTTTGGAGCCACAGGCAAACTGGCTTCTGCTGACATTGAAACTTGTAAGAGACTCCCTTGGCCTGATCTCGTTCCTTCCCAAATTTCCACCTCTACGTGTGATCTTGTGCCTGACTCTCCTACCTTCCTTGCCAGATCTGCTGGAGAAGTCCAGAGTCACTTTCCAGCTCAAGGCAGAAAGAAGCTACCACATATTTTATCAGGTCACCTCCAACAAGAAGCCAGAGCTAATCGGTAGGAAGGATCATCATGACTTTTTGACAGTGATGGCTGAGCAACAGTTCCCTCTGTTACCTGGCTGGCAAAACTAAGCCTGTGTCTTGCCTCTTCCTGCTTTCAGACATGCTCCTCATTACCACCAACCCTTATGATTTCCACTTTGTGAGCCAAGGTGAGGTCACTGTTCCCAGCATTGATGACCAAGAGGAGCTCATGGCTACAGATGTAAGTACGGTAAAGAAAATATTTTTAATGAGATTGTTAAAGTTGTTAGGCAATGTTTTGACTTCATTATTTTGACTGCAGAGTGCCATTGACATCCTGGGCTTCACTCCTGATGAAAAGACAGCCATCTACAAGCTGACAGGGGGTGTCATGCACTACGGGAACCTGAAGTTCAAGCAGAAGCAACGAGAGGAACAGGCAGAGCCGGATGGGACAGAAGGTCCTTAGCAACTGATCTTTTAACGAATTAATCAGTTTTGGGAACATATTTTTTTTTAGCTAGGACAAAAGTTATAGCTTAATTAAATGAAAACTAATTAATATTTCTTTTAGTGTCCATGAAACTGTTGACCTGATTCTCGGATCCCTGGCCTATCTTACTGAATTGTGCACCTTCAGTTAGCTTTTTGATGGGCTAGTGTCATGCATTTTTCTATTTAGCATAGAGAGGGTTTTGACAAGCTTTTTTGAAGAGTCATTTTCCCTAGTTTCATACATAGGCTCTAAAATCAGCTCTGGCATGTACTTACTTCTATTGGCAGTGCAGACTGTGGCCTATTTAGAGCTTTCTTAGATCTTGACTAAGATGCCAAGTTGTAATCTTCATGTATTTTTAAAGTGGAAGTTATTTCATTTTATAAATTTATTTAAAATGTTCAAGAAAATGTTTCTATTGATAACTACTTTCAGAAAAATGCCGATACTGGCTTTCACATCCTTCCTATATTCAATATGTTTGCTGTGATACTAAATTAAAAGATTTGCAGTCATGAACTTTGAACATTGGTGTCATGAGACCCATACCCATTGATCAGATTTCAGTCCTTGTCCAATGATTAATTTTTTCTTTGTCTCTCTTGTCTTTCAGTTGCTGACAAGGCTGCCTACCTGATGGGCCTGAACTCAGCTGAATTGCTCAAAGCCCTGTGCTATCCCCGAGTCAAGGTTGGGAATGAGTACGTGACCAAAGGTCAAACTGTGGAGCAGGTAGAATAACTGGTTACTAGGAATGCGTGGTTATACCTCAGAATTTCTCTTCAAACAGTTGAAATTTCTTTAAATATCTCTGTGCAGTAAATTTTGTGCATTTCCCCTTTGCTTTAGGTGAACAATGCTGTAGGTGCTCTGGCAAAAGCTGTCTATGAGAGGATGTTCTTGTGGATGGTTGTTCGTATCAACCAACAGCTGGATACCAAGCAACCCAGGCAGTACTTCATTGGCGTCCTGGACATTGCTGGCTTTGAGATATTTGATGTAAGGAACAGGGATTTCACAATGGCTTCATGGAAGGGAATGCGTGTTAAGAAAATTCTAAGAATTCTTTCATTAAGAGTCAGAGTTTTTGTAATAAATACAATGATCAAGAGATGTCACTATTAAAGAGACTGGCCTTTTCAACCATTTGAACTTAACAGGGAAGAAACTAATACCACAGCATGCAAGAATGTTAAGTTTTGTTAAAACAAAAGAAAAGAGGAAGAAATCTGTGACAAAGTTATATGGGCCAAAGGTGTGGAAATTATTGAAAGGGATTAGGAAATGCTCATGCTGTTGGTGAAGGAACCCCAAAAGCTTCCACACAAGCACATGGAAATACCTAAAGCCACTCTCTAAAGAATTGAAAAATATTTGAGTAGCAAATTGAGGCAGTCTTCATGATTGGGGTGTCAGGAGAGGTAGAGTCTAGTAATAAATTTGTTTTGATAGGAGAAATTGTGCTGAAGTTATTTACTAAATTTTCTTTAGAATTAATGGATTGCAAAGGGACAAGGGATAATTATCATAATTAAAATATACATATTATATGGAATGATAACAAACAAAAAACCCCTCTACATTACAATGTAGAATTAGAAGTCTTTTGTCTCTTCAGAATGCAAGTACAGTCCCACTAAAGGGTTTCTGGGAGAAGAGGTAGGAAAGGGGTCTTGTATTTGCCTGAGAAGGATCAGAAATATACAGGGAAAAGCCTTGTGGTGAAGACTGAACCTTGAAAATGTTGCATCTTTTTTTTTTTTACATTTGGCAGTTCAACAGCTTTGAGCAGCTATGCATCAACTTCACCAATGAGAAACTGCAACAGTTCTTCAACCACCACATGTTTGTGCTGGAGCAGGAGGAGTACAAAAAGGAAGGAATTGAATGGACTTTCATTGACTTTGGGATGGACCTGGCTGCCTGCATTGAGCTCATTGAGAAGGTATCCTTTCTGTTCAGATGCATTAATGTTGGAATCCTCTAGTTATTGAGGGATACATAAAGAATTTGTTTATGTCCAGATGAAAATGATAAATTTCAGTTATTGAACTGCTCTGTATTTCTGTAATGGTGCCAGCAATGGTTAAAAGTAGTTCCAAAAGTAAAGGTGAAACACCAAGGATAAAAAATTATGAACGTCGGTTAATTTTCTGTGACATATTTTCCAGAAAAGAACAGAAACACCCTTAATCTTCTGATTTGTTTCACAGCTTTCTCTCCTAACACTAGCCTCTTTCCAATCAAGGAATCTGTTTCTCCCTCTTGTTGTAATGTCTTCCAGCCCATGGGCATCTTCTCCATCCTGGAAGAGGAGTGCATGTTCCCCAAGGCAACTGACACCTCTTTCAAGAACAAGCTCTATGACCAGCATCTGGGCAAATCCAGCAATTTCCAGAAACCCAAGCCTACCAAAGGGAAGGTTGAGGCCCACTTCTCCCTGATACATTATGCTGGTATAGTGGACTACAACATCACTGGCTGGCTTGAGAAGAACAAAGACCCCCTAAATGAAACTGTCATTGGGTTGTACCAGAAATCATCCTTGAAGACACTGGTCTTACTGTTTGCCAACTATGGTGGAGCAGATGCAGGTCAGCTCTGTGTAAATTGTATTTTCAGCATGGGAAAATGTTGACAGTAAATCAAACGGGAAAACCTAAATATTTAAAAATTGTTTTCTCTTCAGTGTTCATGATCAATATTTTAATATTGTTTTCCCCTTCTTTCATTTAAAGAGGGTGGTGGCAAAAAGGGTGGCAAGAAGAAGGGTTCTTCTTTCCAGACTGTCTCAGCTCTTTTCCGGGTGCGTACTGGTTTCCTCACTGTGTGTCTTTTTAGTTGAAGAAAGGAAATTTAAAATGTGAAAAGTTATGTTATAATTCTTGAAGTCCTATAGCAAAAAGATGAAGAAGATTACGTACTATAGGTAAATTTTCTGTCCATTTAAATGATGGACTATTGTCTTCTCTTTTTCAACATGGAATGATGTTCTATCATTAATATATCAAAATGAAAACTCTTTCAAATGGTTGAGGATGTTATAATTCAGATCTTTCTTCATACACGTCTATTTTTTTATTTTTCAGATATTGTACAGGGTTCAGAATTTATTAGTAAACAGATTTTGGACTTATGAATATTTTCAGTACTGCTACCGTGCACAATTCATAAGTAATGGAGCAGTTCTGAAAAACAGAGAAGCTGGCTTTAAGATTGTATCACATATAAAAGCCTAACCAGTATATTGATTCAGGAGGGCAAGTATGGGGAATTGTTCATGACTTTCAAAGCCATGAGTCTCAGAGTATCAAATGAGTTCTATCCCAGTTTTTATAAATAATAAATTATGATGACACAGTAACCAAATTCTATTTCCTTTTATATAGTAATGCTCAACAGTGAAAGATGGATGAAGCCATAAACCTTTGTACATTGATATGGAAATTTTGCAATCTAGTTTAAATCTGACAAATTAGTAACTCCTTTGCATGGATGAAATACATGCAGCCGCAGGGGTGCAAACCTTTAATTTGTTGATCTAAACTTTACCTTGTAATCTCACAGGAGA